TTTGGGAATCGGCTGGAGGCTCCGGCGCCCCTATTATATATATAATTTTTAACGACACCTTTCCTATAAAATGTCAATATATTCGCTACGGAATAATAGATTCTTTCGCATTTATAAACGCATCAACGCTTGTGCGTTACTATGAAAAATTACAATTAAAACAAAAGAAGCATCACAACCCTCAAGCATGCCCTGCAGCATAAGAAAACGCGTGCATAAGGAATTTTTTGTCGACCTATTAAATGATATTTAAAAGCAGTATTTCGGTAGAACAAAAATTGAGGACCGTTAACGAGGAGGTGATCATGGAAATGAATGAATCGGGCTTTTTCCTCGTTGCAGAAATTGTTTTTTATTCAAAAACAAATTGGCTCTACCAGTTTCGGTCACGGTCTGCGACCCTATTTCATGAGCATTGTATTAGCTAGTCAGCGAGCAGCGCGTTTGCTCATGAAATAGGGTCGCAGACCGTGACCGAAACTGGTAGTGCCAATTTGTTTTTGAATAAAAAACAATTTCTGCAACGAGGAAAAAGCCCGATTCATTCATTTCCATGATCGTTAACGAATTTGATTTAAAAGGAGATTGGAGAGATTTTTAATGATGCTGCTTCTACTTTGATTTTTTGATAATATATTATAATTAAGTCTGCTACGATTATGACCAAATTTATAAACCAATAAATTTTCCAAAATTTCACAAAAAAAAGGAATTGGGGATCGAGACCTGACACATACGCTCAGCTCAGCAAGGGCCAAATGACTCAATCCCTTTCATAACGCGCAATGAAGTCGGAGGCCAAGGAATCGGAAAGTGGCCAAAACTCAGGGACGTGCACAACATTTGACAAGGGATAAAGGCTGTGGAAATATGTTCACTTACCTTGTTTAGAAGGAACCGTGATGGTGGTAAGCAGCGGTGGCTCTAGAGACCCAAATTGAACTTGCCCAGTTGGCAGCAAGGCAGATTCTTTAACAAAATATTATTCTATTACCTTTTCCGGCTGCATTTGAATATTGTTTAAATTTCACTCCATATTCTCTAACATTGTATTAAAAATTCAACTTAAAGACAATTGAAAATTGTGTTTGAGATTAGCGTTGAGGGAAATTGTTTTTTAACAACGTAACGAGATTAAATTGGAAATTGGAAGACGAGTAAATTTAAATTTAAAGTGAAGCGCACGTGGAGTTGTTAGAAAGTTTAGAAACAGAATCTTGCTACAGCGTTTTATAGGCACACTGATTGTGAGTCAGTTTGTGCCTAATAAATCAATAAGTAGCAATAACCAGCAAAACAATTAAGCACTTGTAAATAATAATAGTGAAATTATTACACACCTTTCAGTCGGTCCATTAAGGGCTGAGGCTCAGGCAAATCACTGCCCTTACAGATCCGAGTGTAGGACTTGATGAAGAATTCAAAAAGCTCATTTGCCTTGACTTTTTGCCCACCAATCTCTTTTATGACCAAATTATCTGGTGCCAGCAGCAATGGCCCCAGGACACTCAAATGCTGTTTAAAATCAGTCTCTATATCTAAAAATACATAAAAAATTTTAATAAATTGTTTTGCCTTTTGTAGAATTTGATGCCTACCTTTGAGTCTACCATCAAAATTGGGATTGGTGGACACTTGAAGGCCAGGGTGGGGCATCAGGAAGCAGGAGATGTCCTTAAAGCATGACGTAATGTGCCTTCCCAACAAGTGCAGCTCTGGGTGTTGTTTTGCCAAGACCTTATAAGCACAATTGTTAATTATTTCATTTTGCATGTAAAAGTACTATACCTTTAGTTTGCGATCAAAGATCTGTTGTCCTCCCTCGGAACCGTATTTGGCCTCGTAAGGGTAACTCCAGTCTCTGATTAGAAACTGCAGCTTTTGGAATGGATTGTTGAAGTAGTTGAAGGCCAGTTGACTGAACTCAGTGAAGATCTGAATGAATAATATGGTTGTAAATTTACTTATTCAACACTTTTTCAATAGTGCAGACCTGCAAGTGCTTAAGATCAAAACCCCGGATGTTCTGGGACAAATTGTAGACCTGGACAGAGCTGCTAATGGTGCTGAGGGCAAATACAGGGGCGCATTCCCTAACCGCGATTTCATTTTCAAAATCGCCTGCAGTTTCCATTAGGACAACAGCGACCTTGCAGAAAAGTGTAATAATGCTTGTACTGAACTTTTTATTTTTCAAACCTTTTCGCCTACAGGAAGATCAACTAGGAAGACTTCTGACCACATTCGAATTCCAGTGGTGCCTTTTTCCGAGGCTCCTCTCCACGAAAAACCGTCCAGAGGTGATTCTTCCTCGCCCAACCAGTCTTCATTGCCCTGCAAGCACTTTGGGGTGAACACACAAAGGAGACAAAAGGGAGCAAACTAAGCATTTGGGAGCATATTATGCTTGTTCAGTTCGGGAAGGTTACAGAAAGGACTATACACAGAAAATTATTTTTATTTTTTATTCTATGGGCAAAAAAGTATTCCCACGCTCGAGCAATTGCTATTTGAAATGTCAGATAGGTGATCAGAAAAATGTGGTCACCTGCGCTTTCATGTATCTCAGGAAGAAATCCAGCAGGAAGGATTTGCCCTTGCGAAAGGCGCCGGCCACGGAGACCACCACCACATGCCGGTCTTTGACATGGTCCTGCATCAAAATGTCCTCAAGGGCCTGCTCGTCCAGTTCGAAGGTGTGGTCCTCCTTGGCCAGCACCACCTGCACAGCTCTGGCAATGCCCTGGGCACATTCCTTGGTCACCGACTCTTCCACATTCATCTGCTTACTTAGCTTTAGGACTTCAGGTTGACAGGCTGGCTGAGGCGTCATCTCAGAGGCATTCTCGCTACAAATCAATATTTAATTTGTTTACAATTATTTACAAATTTCACAGCCATTGTTTAAAAAAATTTGCAATGAATAAGGTATAATCTGAGGGCTGCATGGCTTTTTTAAGCATTTTTTTTTTATCTAATTAATACTTATTATCTTTCATATAAAAAAATGATATTTGGTATTCTTATGTTAAATAATGGTTTTGTTTTGCCCACCTTTCAATAGGAGCAACTCCAATGGGCTCGTCGGTTATGCTGCCGAAGGACGTTGCAAATGGCGGCGGTTTTGAGACAAAGTTATCCTGAGGCGCAACTGCGGTCTCCTCGCGCTGGGGATTTTGATTTTGAGCAGGGCGCTGGAAGTAATTGATTTTAGTTTTTTTCCCCCAACATATTATTTTCATAGAAGCGCATTTCTGCCAAAGTATGTTGTCTGCCAAGGAAGACTGATAAAAGCACACTCATTTAAAATTTCAAGAAAAAAGGTTAGTTACCTCATTCAGAAAGTTGGTAATATTGATTGAATTGATTGTAACAGTGCTGGCCTGTTGGAAAATCTGCGAAAGCACTTGATAATCGGCTAAAAAAATTAGAAATTGTTATTCTTTCATTATAAATGACAAAATACTACGATTCAGTATACCACTACTTGATAGTTGGTTTTGCATTGGCACCGCTGCTGCGGTAGTTTGGGTGCCATCGCCGTCCTTCACATTCGCCACAGACTTTCCCTTGTCATCCATTTTCTGTTGAAAAAATTCATGCAAAATCATAAATTGATGATATTATGAAACATAATTTATTTTCATCCAATAGCAAAATTGTTATAATTTTTTAGTTAATAATATTTTTTTATTGGTCAAAATTATTCATGGGGTTCGATGGGGTTTATAATTAATCTTCTTTATTATTATTTGTATATGATGGATTCATATTATTATATAATTTGGCATTTCGCATGAGACACCAAGAGAGATTTTAAAATTTTTACATATAATTGCGAGATAAATTAATTTGCATTCCGTTCTTTGCGGGAGATGGCACCGCGGATCCCCACTCGCGCGTCTTATTTTGTGAATATAATTCCGCCACCTATTAACCGATTAATTGGCATTAATAGAACTCAAGATGCACAAATCTCGCACAACAAAGTCTCAATAATTATGGTTGCAAGAGAACGGACGCCGCGCAGGCTACTCCAGGCTGGGCTACTCGGCATAATTCATATTTTTTGACTCGCCTAAAGCGTGAAAAAATAGGAGAATAACTAATACGAATATTTCGGAATATTTGAATAATAAAACCGACTTCATAATTAACGCGCGTGATAAAAACATTACGCCGGTTATATAACTATAAAACTTCATGTTTTCTCTCGAAACTTGAGTATGTATAAAATTGATTCGCCGAAAATCAAAGGTCGCGCGCGTATGTACCAGAAAACTTGACTCTCAAAATCGCAATGACCTCCGAAATCGCAGTCTGAGGTCACAAGGAGAATCTCATTTAGAAATTTGGAGCTAAGAAGACAGAGAAATCTAACAACTCCTGCAAAAAAAGATGCTGCCATAACAGAGAGACGAGAAAGAATTCCGAAAATTCCGCGAACTTTACGCGGCCCCGATCATGGAAGAGAGAATTCTTGACTTAAAACAAAATTAACTCACGCACCTTTAGAGAATTATTATCTTCCTTCTCAAAGCTCTCGCTTGCTCCACGAGCTGACCCTTTGATGGCGACAACCCCGACAAAAAGAGAAAATTTTCGTGATGATGAAATTTTTTGGGCGCTATCACGGATCCGCACTTCTTCTCATTGTCAATCTCAAACATACATAACAAAAAACAAATAAACAAAATGTCGGACGGACACCGACAGCAGCGACACTAATACTTACGATTGAATTTGAAACGAAAATGCACACAAGGGCAAGTTTCCCGCAAGTTTCTTCCATTTTTTGCAGGAAAATACATAACAGTGAAAAAGAAATTTAATATTAAGTGAAAAATTCAAAATAGCAAAAGAGTAATTATTTAATTAAGCTGCAAAAGTGTACAGCAGGCAAATGGCAAATTCTCGAGCCATGATTATACCACTCAATACAATAAAAAAATATATAATTATAAAACATAATTATGCGCGCGCCGCAGGTTTTTTATTTAGTTGCAAAAGGTGTTTATTGATGTCTCAGTAGGGTAACTATACCCCATTCTTCGACATATCAAGAAAGTTTTACAATAACCATTAGCTTGGAGAGAGAAACTTACATTATCAATTGATTACAAAAAATTAGTTGAACACTTGAAAAACCAGAAAAAACACAATGATTGATTATTTAGGAGCTATTTATTTATGTAATCTTACTTTGTGTGACGTGTTTTTCGCACAAATTGCTGTAGCAAATAAATGGGATAAGAAGGATGTTATTTTCGGAGTGCGAGATTTTTCATCATACCGGCCATACCGCAACCCAAAAATCGACAACTTTCAGAATTTTCACTGCATATTTGATTCTAATATATTTTAAATAATAATGAAATAATTTCATAATAATTAAAATCCTCTTTTAATGAATGATATTGATGCTTGACTTTAAGCTGCAAGTGATAATCATTGTCACCGAATTTCCTAAATTTTTTTTAAATAACCAGGGATATATTAAAAAAATTTTAATTTATACAGTAAGAGCACTTGATAGGATCAGCTCCACCACAGATGGACTTGCTGTCAATTTTCGGAGGTGCGACGCGCGCGACTTGCACATATTGACTATGGTGAGGAGTTGGTGCTGGAAAAGGACGCTGCCTCAGACTCCCTCCGAGTGCAGATTTTTTTCACAACAGAATCACAATAATTGTTATTATTTCATCTCATAGACACATAAATTTTAGTCATCTTTTAAAGGTAAAGTTTTATAAGTACATTGCTCGTGAAATTTGCATTTTATAACATAAATATTATAAAATTTCCAACTATAAGGTAAGAATCAATTGAAAACCCCAAAAAGAAAGGGGTGGTACAATATCTGAAACCTCTGTGCAATTAAGGAGCAAGAAAACTCAATCAAAATAATAAAAATGCGATATAATTTGTGCTGAGTTATAAAGGCATGTGGTATATTTTATTGTGAGAATGGCCAAATGGTCCTCAGGTCTTCACTTTTCTCAACTGACACATTCATGTCCTGTTAAACAATCTTCTCGTGGGCCTCAGCCTTCAACTTCTTCACAGCTTCCTCTCTTTCAGACAGTTCCTTCTCCCTCTCGTTCAAATGGCGCTTCTTCTCGAGGACCTCACCCATCAAGGACCTGTTGTACTGGTCAGCGTCGTTGCTCTCCTTTTCCAGGGCCTCGAGCTCCTTGCGTTTCACGTCCAATTCTCGGTGTCCCTCTTCTCGTTCTTCAATTGCCTTAACAACTTTATGCAACTGTCCTATCTCCTGCAGCACGAATTCCTTCCTTTTCTGCTCCTCTTCGAGGTAAGGAAGGCAAGTGATGCCATTGGTAAAAAGCATGCGCGACTTGAGGACCAGGGTGGTTTTGTCTGAAATTTTAAAGCAAAATTTTTAAGGATGATTTCCAACTCTAAATTTTATGAGAATAAAGTAAAAAGTGTGATGAAAAATTTACAACCTTTGAAAGGGTAGAAAATTGAAGATTTAAAACTTATCTTGGTTGCTAAGCTAAATCACTAAATTCCACAAAATAGCCAAGTTCCTACTTTTATAGAAATTGAGATTGACACTTCTCTCAATGTTATCTTTTTTATGAATGTTGGACTTTTGAATTATTTTTATTGAGATTCAGATTTAATAAAAGAGATTTTATATAATTTTGATTTTAATAATAAAATAATCCTCAATTAATGTTTACCGTCGCCAGGGCTGACATCAACTCCATTCATGTAGAGATAGGAGAAGAGAGCGTCGGCCGGCAGTCCTTCAAAATGGCCACTCGCCAGAGACAGCTGCAGGAGGGGGCTGAATCCGGCTACCTTAGGTGGACCCTCGTTTTTGACAGGCCTGAAGAATTCAACCTTGGTACACCTTCGTGCCATCTCAACGATCATGGCCACCTTAAACAGCTCCGCTGAGGTAGCAAAAGCAAATGTTATGATTAGCACCTAATAAACTTCTTTGCATTCTTTCAACACTCACTTTTGAATCAAGGATATAAAAAAAATAAGGTACTTTATCCGTGCAAGTAGGAACTTTAAAAGCATAATCTTTTTTTGGACGATCAATTCAATTATAAAACCTACACCCATAGTAGTCCGGAGGAACTCCATTCTCAATGAGAATCTCGTTGAGAAGAAGTTCGTCAAACTGCTTGATCTCCTCGGCGTCGGCGCGCTCAACTGCTTGTTTCTCACACTGAGAGGCGAATATGGGAATCCAAAAGATATTCTCTGAAGTCATTTTTAGATTTGTGCTCGATGAATCTAGGACAGAAAAATTAAACAACTTGACTCAAAAATTTATTTGCTAATAACCATTTTTTTTTTCTTTTTTTTTTTTTGGTCAGGCCAAGACAAAGTGTCTTGTCGGCCTGTGCCCTTATTGAGCTTGCGGAAGGCAAGCTTCAATCTTATATTATTTGGGTATTTATTTATTTCATTTTATCGTTATTATCATCAATTAATTATCATTTATTAATTCGACACGAGATTTTTCGGTCGAAACTATTGGAAAAAGAGGATTATCATGGAGTTATAGTTATATGAATGGTGGGTGAGTGGAGTTGAGAGAGGGATACTTTACTTATTCTATTCGATTCTATTTTAAATTAAAATTTCGATTGTCTAATAGTTGATTGTTGCAGAAAAACGTTTGTTTCAAACGCAACAATGAATGTTAAACGCCATTTTTATAGAATTATGTAAATTAAAAATTATTTACGATAAATACTATTGAATTATTTTCAGCTTCAAATCACCAAATGTTGGTTCTAAAATCAGTTAAACATTTTTTTTTTTTTTTTTTTTTGACAAATTAGCGCCTGCAAAAAACAAAAGTAAGCAACTCGCTGATTGCAGACGCTTGGCATAGGTTGCCAATGTCCACAGATATGAAGGCTCAAAAGACGCAATCGACACAATAATTATAATAATAATAAATTTAAGTTTCAAATGATCAGAATTAAATCTAACTTGAAATTACCTCGCATCTATTGAAAAAAAAACAATGGCTTTGAAATTATTTTGATCAGCTTCTCCTCCAGTTATGCAAATTTCATCAAAACTCTTGATCCTTTGGATTGGAATATGGATTAATTATTATTACTGGTCCTTTAATAGCTCCATGGATTGGAACCTCTCGAAAATCTACCACTCGAACGTGATCGACTTTCGTGAATTTCTAATACAATTATTACAAGTATATTATAGAGATTTAATTTTACTGTTTGAAAATAGAACAAAAAATTAGTTTGATGTAGGTGATTAAATATTTTGGTAACTGAAGCGAGAGAAAAATATTCACAGTTTGAAAATTGCAGGAAAATTGTGAATTATTTCAATTTTCAATAGTTAGCAAAAGTAGCCAAAATTGGTCGGTCGAGCGTCGAGCAAAGTTCGTCGGCCGAGGATAAATCGCGGCTCGGCGTTACCAAAATGCCGCATAAGGACACCGTTTCGGCGCTGATTCTCTCGATCAAACGAGTAACCGCAAACTGGATTCACCTAAATTCATGCTACTAGGCCAATTCATGATAATTTCGGTGTCTGAAAGGGACAAATTGTCACTTACGGGCAGCGTTATCCTCTTCTTGGTCGTGTTTGCGTTCTGTTTTGTCCGCGTCCGCCATGTTGCTGCTGACGTCACCAACACCATCTACTGACGAAATGCGGAACTACTGGCCACTAGCGCTGCATATCAATTCTGCATATTATTCATGTAGCGGTCAGCGGTTTCCCGCTGCCCACTACAAATCGTTTAGTCAAGACTAAACCACTCCACCACCCTGTGCTGCACCCTGCAGCACTCCCATGCAATGTGAGCCCCGCCCAAGCAACCACGTTTATTCTCGCGCCCCAAGCCAGCCATGGAGCGCGCGTCTCAATCGCTCACTCAACAAACCTTCGCCTGAACCCAACTTATGGGGTAAGAACCTTTCTGTGCAATTTCCCTTGACGGCAAAATGACCCGCCCAGTGAATAAGTGCATAATCACCGGCCCCGCCAGTGAATTTAACCCAAAACACCGAACCTAAAACTGTTCGCCGGCCGAGCAATGCCGGCGCCTCCACTCAAATTACCAATACTCAAATAACATGTTTGTAATTCATTGTACTGATTGTATTATGTTTTTACAGTTCTAATACCAACACATCCTGAATGTACAACATCGCCTTACTACAATACATATACGAATTAAAAGAATCTTCTGGAGTTTAATTTAATTATTATTCTCCCTTTGTGTTGGCCAACCTGGCCCGTACATTCATATGTATCTTATTCATTTCTATGTATTCATCCTTCATCCCGCTCGTTTGCAAAACTATTGAAATTTTTAGTAATAATACATTAAATTAAATTGGATTATTAAATCAAACTCAGCTTTAAATTAAATATCAAATCAGGTACTTGTTTGCCACTTTGAAGACACGCCAGTGTTTATTTTCTTTTCTCCTTTTATGTTTTTTGTATAAAAATCCCAGAGGGGCAAACTTATTATTATTTTTTTAATCATGTATCATGCTTAATTTTTAACTTTGCAGATATGATCACGAGTTAAAAGTCCTGAATTATTGCAGCAACTCAATAACATCAAAGACGGACGGGAATATCCACATTTTCTTCTTGCGCAAGAAGGAACACGGATTTTTGGATATTCCCGTCCGTCTTTGATGTACGTTATTGAGTTGTTGCAATAATTTGACACGGGCGTGCCCACCAAACCAAGTTAGCGGGACGCGGTGGCCTTCGGTGCTCCTTCTTTGTCAGGTTGGACTGCCTCAAACTGTTGACGGTGTTTGGAGGTGGACAAATTAAAGGCAAAGGTGCTGGCTGCTGATGCCACTTGATGGACGACTTTTTGTGCGGCGGCGCCTCATTGGTTTGCTCATCTTGTGCTAAAAAGGCAAATATTCGATTTCTTTTTAACTTTCCAACTGGTTTGGGGTTTTAGGAGTGCTGTTGGCGACTTTACTGTGCACTGGCCCTTTGTGTGAAATCTTTCTGCTGTTGAGCTGGGTGTGCTCCAGCCGCATTCTTCTCTGCTGGTGCGTGTCCCCATTTGAGGTGGAGAACTGGCCGTGGTGCGCTGCTGAGCAGTTGCGCCAGCGAAGTGGACAACTTGCTGCGCTCCTGGTACTGTCATAGCGTGCATCAGAGGAGGAGGCGGCCTGAAGTGGTGTTGTGAAAGAGCTGGGCAGCCGCGGTTTAAGCTGCTTGCTGCTGGAGGAGCCACAGGATGGCTTCAGTTTTCTGACCGCTTTTGCAGTTTGCGTCCGGTTTTTTACTTGATGGCAGTCTTTAACACAACTTCCAATGTTTCAGCACTCCGCTCATCTGGAGGGCGTTTGCGATATCACAAAAAAAAGAAACAATTTTATATTTCTTGTTCTAATTATCCTAATTATTCTGCTTCATTTAAAAAAGATCTAATATTGGCGAAAAATTTATCAGGCAAAGCTAAAATTCAAAGGTCAATTAATTAATTGCAAGAGGGATTTAGTTTCAGTTCGGAAGTTGCAACTTCACTATGAAGACAATAAGGTACCCCAAATAATATTTTCCTCATTTCAGGCAAAATACATTATTTTTCTTCAATTTCATTTTTGGCAATTCAAAACGGTCAAACAATTAACAGCTTGAGTTTTCCTCAATTTTCAAATTTTAGCTCTCTAACATAACTGTCTGACACATTTTGACGCAATTCTTTTTTATTACTATTACAACAAGAAGGGAGTTTTCACAGGTAGCAAATTGCGCCGGTCACCTGCTTATACAATTCTCAGGCATAACCTCATGAACTGGCTTAAGGCCTGTCGGAAAAGCTCGCACAACGAAGTTTAGCAATTCTTAATAAAATGTATGGCTCAAACTAAATATTGCTTGAATAAATATGTGATTTAAACTCCTTACTTTTCTTGAGTCATTGTCCAGGTTGGCCACCTTTGTGTGGACCTTGTCCGACTCTGCGTCAGGGTTCCGTCTTTTGCGCAGACGGTCTTTGGCAGTGCTTGCGTTCTCCCTCCTTTCCTCCAGCTTTGCCTGTCTTTTGGCTTGCATCTCTTCTAAAATTTGTGGCTCAAACTTCTCTTGTTTGCATGTGTGTACAGCTGTTGCTGGGTCCTTGCGGTAGAATTCTACTTGGAAGTTTGTTTCTACCTTGGCAAGGCAGCCCTTTGCTGTAAGAGAACCAAAATTTGTTACAATAAAGTATAATGTAAATTACACTGTATATTTTATACTTTTTCTTTGAGAGCATTTAAAGACCTTTTGTGTCCAAATTTTTACTTGATCCACAGTGAATACCAAACAAATGTCCATCAAGCTCTGGCACGTAATTCATATTCCTGTTCCTCACGCGTTTCGCTGGCCATTTGGTCATCTCTGGCCCCACCCCAATGGATCTGAAATTTAAAATCCAACTTTAGCTGTGTCCCTGTCCTCACATGAAAGAGGTGTCTTTGAGAATTTTACTGCACATTTGTAATAATTTGCAAAAAAAATAGCTATCTTCTTATAAATGGAGTATCAGGGTAAATATAAAAAAAAATTCTTTAAGCTCAATTTGAAAATTATCTTTGATCTTATTCTCCAATTTAAAACCGTTTAAAATAGTTTTAGGTAGAAGGTTTTCAATGGAGTTCATTGGACCTAAAAACTGATGCGAGATAACCAAAAAGAGCTTTTTACTTCGGAGAGGACTGCATATTCTTAAAGCCTTTTACAATAATTTATATTTAAAAGTACTTACTCATCAACAGTAGTGTCCCTTGGAGAATCTGGCAGCTCAGTGGCACTTGCGTTGGGCACTGTAACAAAAATCCATTACATCACTGTCAAGAAAAATCACAGCATCGAAATTTGCTGGTATTTAAAGACGCAAAATATCATGATATTATTGGCTAGCAATTAAATTTATCGCTAATTTCATATTTGTTGTTGAATTTTGTTGACTAAAGGCGACGAGTTGACCGAATGCATTCGGCTCAAAAACGCTTTGTCTGAATGAGTTCAGTCTTTACGAGAAGCGATTTCCATTTCATTTACGAAGTGCGTTCAGTCCAAAAGCTTAGACCAAACGCGTTTGGCCAGCAAAATGTGCAATTTTTTTTGCCCAATCTTTTTTTTGTTTTTGTTTTTTTAGGCACAAAGGAGAGGACGCAGAGCTACTCTCAGTAAATCTGCGCGGATTTTTCAATTGAGTTCTAATAAGAAATTGATAACCCTAAACCCATTAGAAATGCCATTGTATTATAGAACCAGGAAAGTTGCTAGCTTGAATGACCAAGTGAATATGCAACTTTGAACTTCATACAATTTTATGTCTACCAAGAAAAAACTGCCAAATTTGAATGCGTGATCCAATTACATTGTGCAATTAAACCGATTTTGCTTCACGGTTGGATTATACTTTTAGTTGAGTGATACCATGGCCAATACCCCCACCAAGAATGGGCAGAGCGCACTTTTCGCTCCTGCCGCGCTTATGAAAGCGACGTTTCAAGAGCGTTTATCGAGTTGAATTTTTCAGGCGCAACGCGACTGCTGAATAAATTAGTGGGCAACCCGCGCGACATCGGCGTCTCGCGGGTTGCCGCGTTAGTTATTTTATAGATTATTTCGATTATTTAATACAAGAGAGAGAGCTAACATTAAGAGTAGGCCAGATTTGGGAATCGGCTACAGGTTCCGCCGCCCCTAAATACATGATTTTTAACAATACTGTGCCTATAACATGTCTGTATACTCGCTTTGGAGTAATGGATTCTTTACAATGAACGCATCAACGCTTGTGCGTTTCTGTAAAAAAATTACAATATTAAAATAAAGAAGCATCACAACCGTCAAACATGCCCGCAGCATAATAAAACGCTTGCTTCAGGAATTTTTGCTGACCTAATATAATATATTTCAAAGCAGTATATCGGTAAAACAAAAATTGAAGACCGTTCATTTGATTTAAAAGGATTGGACAGTTTTAATGATGCTGCTTCCACTCTGATTTTCAGACATTATGTTATAATTAATAAGAATATTCACCATATTTATAAATCAAGAAAATTTGCGAAATTAAAAGAAAAAAATTTAAATTAGTACTTTTGACTAACTGGTTTTGTCTCAGTATCTCGCGTCTCGGAACGTAATTCCACGTAAAAGGCGTTTAATTAAAAGTACTAACTTAAATTATTTCCCGTTCCGAGTGGTTTCTTTGTTCTTTATAAGTTCTTAAAAAAAAATTATACCGTTTCGCGTAAAATGTAATTTATTTTTAATTTTATATAATTAATGAACTTTTAATCAATTTTAATAAATTTGGAATAAAGTTGTCATTGCTAATCAGATGAAAAATATGCATTGTTTAGTTTGAAATAACCCTTAAAACCGTTTTCCACCAACAATCAACTTTTAAATCATTAGATTTGAAATAGATTAATTGTTGTTAGCAAGGAATTTTTGAGTCAAGTCGTCTGTTTTTATCTTTTCTAAATTATCAAAGCAAAATTTAAAAAAATGCCTTCCGAGACTTTGCTTGAAGTTGTGTCTCAGTACGAGCAACAAGAAAGGAAAAAGAACGAATTGCTGGAGCAGTTGAGGGACGTAGTTAACAAAATGACGGAATTGGAGAAAGAATCAATTTTATACAAAATTCAACGTGATGGTTTGGAGAAGAAG